TCATCTTGTTGAATGCGCTGGTGGTTTTGAGTTATAGCAGGACTCAAGCCGAAACATTGCCTATGTCAAGTGGTGCTTCAGAGTCCTTGTTGTTGAAAAGCGTATGGGAGTTCATGATGCGCCGAACCTCGAACCTGGAGCTACGATCAGATTCAAGCTCTGGGAGGCAGTGGGCTCAGCGTGCTGGAGTTGGAAGGCTCAAACGTATCTCAGAGAGGGTTTGCTGGATTCAAAGAGCTGTGAAGGGAGGTTGGCTTGACATTATTCCTATTGGAACACATGTCAATGTGGCAGACATCAACACCAAACGATTGAGTGCAAAGAGACAGATTTTTCAAACATTGTGGACATTGTTGGTTGGCTTGTTAAATGCTTGGCTTGAACATTGTTTATCAAATTTGGCCATTGGTTGTGAAAAGGCTGAGACGATTTCGCGAGACAAACGCTGGGACTGGACCTGGTGGAGAGGAAGAAGAAGAAGAAGAAGAAGAGATCAGTGAGGATTCAGGCGGGGCTGGACCTGCAAGTGAACAACAGTCAAATGTTTTGATTTCAACAGCGGCTGGAAGCTCAGACGTTGCAGTGGCCGCAGGTGCAGATAGTGGAGGTGCGATGAGTTCAGATGATGTACCAAGCACACCACGCTTTCCGCCCATGTTCTCCAGATAGTCAGTCGTCTGATGAAGAATATCCTTGCCCTCCAGATGAAGAACCAGAAGCAGATTTGAGATCAGAAGACGCTTTTTTCAACGAGCACAACGTCCCTGGCAGGAACTACGGCGCAGGGATGGAAACAGAAGAGACCCCAGAGGTTGGAGTCGAGGAGACGGTTCCCTCCCATTCTCCTCTTGTACTTTGTGCTTGTTTGACTATATAGTTTCTGTGAGTTTGAGTTTGTCTTTTCTTTTGGTCCCCCCATTCTCCTCTGGTACTGTTGTTTGTTTTCTCTTGATGAGGAAAACAAGAAACAAGTCTAGGCACATCTTCGCAGAATTTCCAGCCAGAACTCCTTCATTCTGCCTCTCAACCGTTTCCCTTTGGGATGGCGCCAGCTGAAGAAGAGAATGAAGAGGAAGATAGCGAGATTCCGAACAATGAAGATACAGAAGAGAGGTACCGGAGGTATCAGAGCGCTCCAATGGAGGAGTGTTCAGATGTTGAGTTTTGGCAGACATGGCATCATTTGAGCAGTGAGGAATCTAGTTACGATGGGTTGAACCAGGAAGTTGAGACGGAAGCTGAAGAGCCTACAGTTCCTGAGAATTGAGCTGTGCAAGATTTTGATGGCGAGCGATTCATGTTACAATGCGTTGCGTGGAAGGCTATAGTCGTGCTCCAACTGAACCACGGCTATGGCAAACGACAGTTTGTTGCACAACGAAAACATTGCAAGCCAGTTGCAGTGTATGCTAGAATCAGCAAAGTTCTTTTGTGGAAATAGGGTCTTGAGAACGACCCCGGAGCGGATGCTACAAAATGTAGCCCTACAAAGTAAAGTGGAGGACCTTTTCCGTGTTTACCTTGATGATGGTAACATCCACTTTAATCATGTGATGTTTGAACTCGTACGTTCAACATCAAGGCGGGGTGTCAAGTTGTATAGGTTCACTTGAGACACCTCTAGGTATCGCTTAGATGATGCACTCGACCGGTAGCGTTGCGTATCAAAATCAGTGCGCACTCCGCTTGACAAACCTACTAGCGATGGCCTCCAACCCAATAGCGATGGCCTCCAACCTAATAGCGATGGCCTCCAACCTAATAGCAATGGCCTCCAACCTACTAGCGATGGCCCCCAACCTAATAGCAATTGCCTCCAACCTAATAGCAACGGCCCGAGGTTTGGACTCCGATCCCTCCACATCTCAAGCTGAAGACGAGTTCCAATCCGCTGGGAATGACAGAGTTCGATCCGGTCATTCGCATGGTCGACGCAGAGAGCGGTCTTATGGAGCTCCAGCTGGGAAGCATTTGGTGATGGGCCAAGCAAGGTGGAACGGGATTCTGACTCGCCTTCATACCCAGCATTCAACAGCTAGAGGCTTCAAGGTCTTGTACTTGTTTCTCAGACTGTGGCACTGGGCTGTCCAAGTTTTTCTTTTTTTTAATGCGCAATGATCTTTACAGTGCACTCTTTGGTTTGGTTGCGTCCTTCGCGCCTCTCCTTGAGCTACCTTTGATTCACCTCTTCTTTTTCTTTCGATCGTTTGAGTGTGTCCAAATGTTTTGCCAATCTGTACAATGGACCAAAAATATCGAACACAAGACATCTATCAAAACCTATTCTCCTTGAACGCTTCGTATCGTTCCATTCTTGGGGCCGGTTTGTACCGTTGCCCAGGATGCCACTTGGGCTGATCGTGCCAAAACCGTTTTTGACGTGTCACTGTCTTATACGTACTATCCGTTTGACGAGCAAACTCTTGTGCCTTGTATGAACTCGGTTGCATTTGTATGCACTCTTGCGGCTGCACTAAAAGCGTCAGTCGACAGCACCATCTATCTTAGGACTTGTGCTTGCCGTTTGACTACTTCACGGATCCTGAAATTTCAGATTGGGGGGATGGTCCAGGCTGGAGTTGAATTTTGCTTTGAGCAAACATCAACATGAAAGACTTGGTCGACATGCTTTGTGTGCAGGATCAAACGTGCATAGCTAAGTACACCCAAAGCGCCCCAGCGCATTAGGCCCTCAAGGGCACATGCTGTCACATGCTGAATATCAGCCAGGTAGATCCAGGGCCCTCAAGGGCACATGCTGTCACATGCTGAATATCAGCCAGGTAGATCCAGGTAAAAACTCCTTTTCTCAGCCCAAGGGGTGGCATCGGGCAACGCACGAGCCAGTTCGGATTTGATTTGATTCTGTCAAGCATGGAATCTGTGGATTCTCAGAAGTCCACTGCACGGGACCTTGCTGCCTTGCTCTTGCACATTGTGAAGTGACTAGGCAGGTATTCGGGTTCATTAGCTTCGTTTTGGGGCTTGATCAAATTGATTTACTTGATCGCTTTCATGAAGCAACATCAAGTTCGTAGAAATCTGCATTGCCTGACACGCTGAATCCACAAGGAACGCATCAAGTGAGAAGAGGGGAGAGCGCTTCCATGCACAGCCGTTTCCCATCCGAAACAGAGACAAGTCGTGTATAAAGCAGCATATTGGAGACATTGCATTGCAGCCAAAGGATCCAAAAGAAGCAGAGATACTTGCAAGAATAGCGGGCAGACATCTATCGAATGAGAAAACACAAACACCTAAAACCATGGTGAGCAAGAACTGACTGTGCACAGCTGGATGTGCACGAAGCCCCTTTTCCTAGCAGGAAGGAACATTTTGCGAACGTATTCTCTACTTTCATTGAACAGCGAGAATATGAAGCCCAACTAAGGGTCTGAATCCTTTTTGTCCAACGCGGCTTGAAACGAATTCTTTTGTGCCCGCCCCGCAAAGTGGTGACTGGTCAATTTCTTGTGTGGCTGCATTGTTTCTACAGAAACACGATTTGACAGCGGCCTGTGGACGGCGCTTGCTTCGCTTGCTGCTTTGCTCCGGCAACGTGCTCAGCATTTCAACACGTGTCACCCTGGAGGTGTCAAACACGAAGACGAAGAGATTGCTCGGGACGGGCTGAAAGGGGGTATGCAGCTGTCGGACTCATGAGACATGCGATTTGGTCATTGGTCATTTAGCGCTTCAGCGGCTTTTGGTTATTTTTACATAGTGATATCAGTGATGGTGCTTGCATTGCGATTGGACACCAGAGACATGTTGCAACTCAGGTGAATGATTAAAAAATTGGCAAGTCTTGATTGAACCTGTTGCAGTTCCCCATCCGTGAGTTCATTGTGTTGCCTGAAGGTACTGCTTTCAATTAGAACCCTGCAGGACATACAGTCTCTCTCAGTGCATTGGGACGCACCCGCAAGTCACGCACAGTTTGTGTCAGAAAGATTTGTGAGCGAGCCGCTAGACTTTCCAGAGTTTCAGTCATCACAAGAAAGAAGATCTGATTTGTCTTTTGGGACATTTAAACTTTAAATGGAGCATGTTCAAGAATTTGGACATATTGAAGAATGCGTCTAAGATGTCGATAGCCCGGCACCTATCCTGCTTTTAGTCCTTTTTGTTACCTCAATTCACGGGCGGTCAGTCACATGGGATCACAAACAACTGGAAACCACGATTACCACACAACATTGGGCACAGATTGCCAGCTGCTGATCACCACAAATCTGGAAATTGTTTCTCCACCACTAGAAGTCATCACTGGTTAAGCACTGATTAGTGATGCTGGAGCAAAGCCATACTAAAGACTTCAAAAGGAAAAGACAAGGTCAAACCAATTTGCCCTCTATTTTCACTCTTTCAAAGCGTTGGATCCTTTTGGGCGGTTTGTTCACTGATAAGGCATGGATGAAGTGTTGCACATGCAGATTTTGCCAATCTCAGGCGAGCTGATCTAAGTATGTTCAAGTCTCATCAAGCATTGACAACCGAGGTTGGAGAGCAAGGGCTTTACTGTGGATGGAATTGAAATCTTCGCAGACTTCAACTCGGAGATCACGAGCTCCGTTTGTATACGCATCCATATATTCAGACGTACCTTACTTGAATGGCTGGAAATAAGGAGTTTGAACTGATTTGAACAAGAGTGACACGCACCGTGCAAGGCATCACCATTCTGGTTCTCCGCTTTTTCTGGCCCTTGACAGCATTGCTCTTCATCCCCTTTGCAGGCTGAGGGCTCAGCTAGATGAGCCTGACGTGCGCTTCACATGATTTGCGCCCACATATGGCATTGATAGCTTCCGAGAGGGAAAGCCGTCACACCTTTCGGCCGTGCGCTTTCGGCCTTGTGATGTTGAGACAAGATTGTATGATATTGTATGAAGGTGTATGAAATGATAGGAAGTGCATCAGCCCCATTTGAAAACATCGATGATGTCGAAGCGTAGTCACATTGTCGCTTTACTCCAGGTTTCTTCATTCCGATCGAGATGGTGATGCCTCGTGTGGCCACGGGCTTCATCTCCTTTTTGTCCCTACAGGTCTTCAGGAGTGGAGTGCTCACGTAGCCGCTGAAAGCTGCTGAATCATTCTTAACTGAACAGGTTTGCTTTGAAAGGGTTTCTTCCCCCAGATAGCTGCAAGCTATAGGGTTCTTACTTCTCAATGATGTGGCTCTGGATCGGCGTTTCGTTTTGCCCGTGCTGGTGCTGGTGCTGGATCGGCGTTTGCTGGGGCGAGCCGGTGCAGGTGTTGGTGTGGGTGCTGGTGCGGATGCTGGTGCTGGCACTGGATCGGCGTTCTCTTGGGCGTGCTGGTGCGGGTACTGGTGCTGGTGCAAGTGCTGCTGCTGCTGCTGCTGGTGCTGCCAGTGCGCACGCAGACAAATTCAGTTTTTGATGTTGACCCAATCTCTTGATTGTTCTCCTAGTTGCTTTCTTTGCCATTCTTGCAGTGTTCCTCTTCCTGGTGTTGTCCGTATGCTTGCTGTCTCCATATCAATATCCTTTTGATAGGAAGGCTCTTGTTTGTTGTGGATCATGCTATCATCATGTTGCCATTATTGTTGTATTATTCTCTTTTTGGGGGGTTCGAATGTGTTTGTGGAAAATTATTGTTCGCGTTTGTTTCCTCTTCATGTTGTTGTCGTCCTTGTTCTGGTTGTTGTTTTTCTTCTTCTCGGGGTTGCACTTGCCGTACCGCGGTGGGGTTCGAACCGGGATCCCCCTCGTTATTTCGGCGGATGGAGCTGGGCCAATGAGAATGATTCTAGGGGTTCGTCCCGCGATCTCCCACCGTACATAAAGACTTGCTATCCCAAGAGTAGCTCCAGCTAGCTACGCTAGCTTTTGTGATCACCCAGTGCCAGCAGTTTTCCTCATAGTGAACAATGCAACGCAGGTGTGTACTCCAGCATTATGTTGCGAAACCAAGAACTTGGGCCCAAGGTCCAGGCAGCAGTCATCATGCCGATGTGTTTCAAAGCTCTTGGCAGTTCGCAGTTCGTGGCGTTGCCTTCACTCGTTTGCCCAAGGGCGGACACCCCACAGGCGGAGACACCCGGAGGCAAAAGAGGCGACCCAAGCTACCCAGGGCAATTGGAGACAGGAGAAAGCCCTTCTACCAGTCAAAAGTTTACAAGACCCCAGATAGCGGGTGTGTAGGGACAAGGCTCATAGTGCCTAAAATCCCAATGTCACGTCTAATAGATTTCACTGTCGAGCGGTGCCAAGAGCATTGTTCACCTCGCCGGGGACGACATCATGTCATGCCAGGGATAAGCACCAGCACGCCCAGCCTCCATCCGTCGGAGTCAACTTTCCGTACGAGAGCTGCGCCCTGATGGCTACACCCATGCACTTTCTTTCCTGGCGCTGTATCTACACAAAGGACCCCTTCTCTTCTGAAGGTTTTATAGTTGTAACCTGGCTATGAGTCAGAATCCGGTACCCTAGTGAACATCCAAAAAGCCAATAGACTACAGTAGGGTGGTAATCATCCCCAAAGGTACCTTGAGTTTTGACCCCATGGTCACATAGATGTTTCTAGATACTTATATACTGTAACCACCGATTCAGCTTTTCAGATGTACCGCCTTTGCGGGTGCCTCTGTGGCTGCAGCAATCTCATAACAAAACCTCTCAACATTTAAGCGGTGTGTGGACACGATGACGTGCCGGTAACTTGCACCTACCGGTAACTTATGCACAGCGATTCCAGACGTCAGACTGCAACCCCGAGGTCGCTCATGTCCGCCAAGCTAACACGATGAAAGCTTCTATATTGTCTGACACTACTTTCCCCTTCCTCACGATTTTTTGCGCGAGCTAGTCGGGGTTACGTTTCCCATTCGATTTTCAACCGCGAGCCTCAGACGCTGCGATACTCCTCCGGTTGTGCCAGTAAATGAGGTTGGCGAAAAGAACCCTGCTGGTTCTGAAACTCCATGGCGGAGAGGTTCTGGCACTGATATGGTGGGATCCCAGCAATCAGTGTTTTCACCAAGTACCATGCACACAGTGCGCACTCAGAGAAAATGCGCTCCAGATACACATACCCGTCAATGCATTTTACATATATTAAATTGATACCTGCTAACTACAAGACCTAGCGTGCAATATCAGCATCAGAATCATGTCCCGAGCCATTCCTCGCTAGCTTTCGTCCCCCTCCCCTGGCCTCAAGTCTTCAAAGATGGCGTTGAAGCGGTTGCGCATGAGCACTCTCACCCACCAAGGGCTCAGGATTGGGTTGCGGTTTGGCTATTGTGCCAGGATGCCTGTGAGGACAGCCAGTTATATATCTCAAGCGAGGTGACTGGGATCTTTTGGGTGATCTCCGGGTGTGATGAGTGCTTGGGTCACCTCTTTTGTGCCGCCTCTCCGGCTGTCTCCGGCTGTGCTGGGGCTAGGGTGCAGTTTCTGTGGCTGTTTCGAGCTGTCCTCGGCCATTTTGTTTGTGTCATTCGTAGTTGATTACGTTTACAGGTTGCTGGCTGCTGGGTGCCTTGGTAAGCTTCAAGAATTCTGTGATATAGTGTCGCAGGACTATGGCATATTCTTTGATCCCAAAGCCGTCTTCGTCGCTCCTTTGGATGGACGTGGCCAGCTCAGGTTATGCTGATTGGTGAGTTCGCCCTTTCTTACACCCGAGTGACCACTGCCTGGAAATGTGGAATTTGAATTGTGCGTGCTGGTGTGGAATCTGTGTTGAATCTGTTTGACGACAGATTTCATAGCACTGCCAGGCGTCACACTGTTAGACAGTGGGTGCAGAGGCAGTTGCATGCAATGGACATATAGAATGGTATAAACGGGTGTTCACAAAACAATACTGCAACTGAGGTTCAGCACCAAAGCACAAAACGCACCATTAATTGGACAGTGGCTCATCACCAAATGTAAATGTGCAGCGAGGAAACAAAGGTAAATCCTACGTCATTCGCATTCAGAAAATCACCCTCGGGCACCTAGTTTAGAAAAGGAGCTACAAGACCAGAAAGATCACCGGTTTTCAAGCGTGTGCGCACAAGTGCTTGGAATGAACGCTTTTCATGAAATGGAATTTCGGGGAGACTGATTGCTCTGCCTGTTGGCGAAGTGCTCGTTCATGGGGTGGGAAGGACAATATCTAGGTGATCAAGAGGAAGGCCCTCAATGTCGCCGCATTCATGCGGTGGTCGAATGGGCAGTGCCACGCCAGCATAGAGTCGAAATAGCCAGTTACAGTTCGGCCCAAGAAATACCAAGATCTGAGGTGTCTTTGAGAGGCATCAGGAAGTCGCCATTTCAAGGTGCTCACATGCAGCCAATCTATACAATCATGAAATCTATGGCAATCCTTTTGCAAAGCTGCTCCACCACACCTTTCAGCTGCGGACACTTGATGACACCTGGTTAGATCGCGCCTGTACGGTGATAGATACATGTTTTGAACACCAGGGCGTTGGGTGTGAGTGCAACCCACTGCACCACATCAGAGGGGTTCCATGTACTCGTACGAAGGTGTGTTGATCAACTTGTGCACATGAAGATGCGTTGGCCATAGCCTGTTCTTTGCTGTTGGGTGGCATGGGCCTACTTGCTTGGCCCTATCAGTTATATATTATTTCTAAATTGCCAATGTGGTGGTAGCTTTTTTTTGTGCAAAGGTTTCTGCGTGTTGGATCTGATCAAAAGCCAGTAGGTGCATCAGGCGTGTCTGAACTGCTGCCCCATCAGCGAAATTGTTACCTTGAATGTTGCAAAGGTTCAATATAAACAGTTATGTTAACTGTGGGAATCGACTGCAATGATGAGCAACCGCTCACGATTTTGCGGTGCAATAGCTGCGAAGTTAGTTATTTGTTCCCATTCAAGGAAAAGCCAGCCCAGTGGATGATCTTTTTAAGAGCAAAGTGTGGGTGGTCAAGCAGGGCTGAGACCTCTAAGGCAATCACACATGGTCTGATGAGGCTTACAGTAGTTGAATGAGCACATATGCCAGGACTTTGCCACCATGTCTGCTTAGTCCGGGCAAACAGGCAAACATGTGACTAGGTCTGGTTGTCCAGGTCAGCAACATAGACATCGCGATATTTAGGGCAGACTCACCACCAGGCATGTGGGGTTGGCATATCATTAGCGACCTTTTGCACGACATGCAGAATCCTTTCGCCTTATGAGTTGAGTTCCCAATTGAGTCATCTCAGTATTCCGCTCTACAAGAATTCACTGAGTAGTAGAGTAGAATTCCGCGAGCAATTTTGGCAAGAGAACTGTGATCGACTGGACCTAAATTTTGCTATGCAGGCCCAAACACACTTCCTGGCACACGTGGAAGCTCAGGGACCTTCTGGGAACAAACAGTGTGGAGGGGGAGAGAGAACCTTATGCAGAAGGGGTGCACTGCCCAGGTTCTTCTTGAGTTGGTCCATTCTTTCTGACATGATAGTTCCCCCAAGAACCACGAGACCGAATTCCTTGTGGGGAAAGGACATCGCCTGGCCAACATGCCCTCACCACAGCGAAACAGAAACTAAGTCACCAAGTCGACGCCTACGCCAACGTACAAGCAAGGTCAGCTCCAGCCAAGCAAGGTCTTGATTGTGGAAGCAGTTCTGACGTGGCAGAACAACTCTGGTGTTGGACACATTGCCCGCACAATCCGGCATCCTCATTGAAAGAGAAAGGCCTGTGCAACCGCGAGAAGACATTCTGATCACAGTTCTTTTCGCAGAGCATTTGCGGGTCGACGCAATCTATTCGCCAGCTCATTCAAGACCAAGTGCCACTGAAACTCATCCAGTCAGTTGACTTTGACCCATGCATAGCGGATGTATACTGTATAGTATACTGTCAATCCTTTGACGTTGCCCAACCAGTCAAAATGCCTTTCACGAATTTGCCGAGCATCAAAAACTGCAAGAACCATTCCAATATAATTCACAGCACCAGTTGAACACAGCTGTTGGCTGACCTACTGCTTCAACCACAGGGCGGAAGTGTGGATGTTCTGGAATTGGAGTGAGAGTTTGTTTCCGTCATTAGAGTATCCTGCTTATTGCACCATAGTTATATGTGCGAGTGCAACGCAGGAGCCAGCGAAAACGCGCGCCCCTTTTCAACCACCTCGTAAGGGCCGATGTGCTGAGCGGATGTGTGACGTATTTCACGGCAATTCATGCAAGAGAAACGCACCGGTGGACATCTTTTAAACAACTATAAAAAAACAGAAACAGGAACACTAAGTCTCCAGAGGACCAATGCCTTCCGCCTTGCGTCGTCTAGCAGACTTCATTTGTTCATCACAGATGATATGCCATTTCTGTCCCAACTGGTAGTACAAATTGATTTGTTGCTTTTCGGTGGACTTCGTCAACGAGTTCGCAAGTTGAGCATCTGAGTGGATCCACCAAAGGGTCATCTGAGTTTCCCATGTGGAGTCTTTGAGCGACAACGACTCAATCGTGGGTCTCTTTTCTTCTCCCTTCACTGTAGGAGAATCTCGGTCCAACCGATCGTACAAGTTCTTGCTGTCTGTGACTACCATACCGGGTGTAAGGGATATCATTTTGTCACATGAAAGTTGACGTAAAGCAACTGGAGAATGTTTCATTTCTGACCAAAGGTATCGTAAGTGGTACAACTCGTCCTCTGAGTTCACCACCGCATAGACTTCGGCACATGCCGGGCTGCGACACTTGCGATGTATCTTCCCAGAACGCTAAGCTAGTAGAGTAACTTCAGTAAGGGAACCCTTTCGCAAAGCCTGTGAAGCAAGTCCAACGACAATACCTTCAGTGCTGTTAATACCGTCTGGTCTGTTTGCCCATGCTGCGCCCCCCCAGGCTACAAGTTCTACTGGAGCATCTTTGGCCATAGCGTGTATCTTGAGGGGGATGTAGTTACGCTTGACCTCGTCGACTAGCTTGTTAAGCTTGATGACGTCCTCGATCTTGCTTTCGGGAACTAGGGAGATGATAATATTAACATCGGAAGAGTGAATCACATTTGTTTGCCCACAACGCCAACTCAGACTCCCCAATACTGCTCGCATCTGAGAGTGTTCCTTCTCTGTAGTCCTTTCATTTCGTTCGCGAAAACGTTCTTTGTTGAGGTGTACAGGATGAAGTGTGTTCACAAAATCCTGTTGTGACAAGGTGAAGCCATAACCCTCATTTTGGGTGACCCTGATACCACACTGAGTGAAGGGGGTGCTCTCCCAAGTTCTCCAATTAAATTCCACTCCAATTTTACTTATATATACCCAAATACAAGGTTCGCTCTTCATACGGCTATAGCCTATCGATTGGAGGAAAGTAGAAACACTCTTGTACCACCACAAAGGTGCCTCCACTATATAATCCGTACGCGGCTGGCTGCAACTGCGTTGTAGAACCTGGCCCTGGCGGTATGTTTAGGGCTCTGCAGATCTCGTTTGTTGGTGCCACTTGCAAACCATGTTCGACAGTGTCTCCCTGCAGGAAAGCCGATGAAACATCGCCTTTTCTTACCCTCAAGTGTTTGCGGGCACAAAAACCAAGGAAAACCTGCCTTGTCGGCCATGTAGGCCTCATGAGCTTCGGGATCCATAGCCGGCTTGAAAACGGCATTAAGCCAAAAGAAAAGGGGGCAGTCCCCCCGATCTGTGAATGTCCTGCTCAACTCAACCTTTACCCCCCCGGACTTTAAATGTCCTGCTCCATTCGACCTTTCTCCCAACGCATGGGCTCCACTTCTATCCTATATCCGCTAACAGTAAGTGGGCCTTGATCAAGACCTTGTGTATAAAGAGCCTGTCTTATCGACCCTCAATGCGAGACTTTGCGCCTCTCTGCCTTCTACTTCCCCCTGCCCGACAGCAGTTCCAGCGCGCTGTCGAAGTCACCCATAACCACATTGATGTCTTCTTACGGTGTATTCGTTTATGGGCCCATGGATGGATGACACTCCCACAAACGCCAAAAGCTCCAATCTACCCAAAGTTGAGCTCTAAACTTCACTTCGCAAGTACTTACGAAATACAGTGTGAAAGGTGCTATATATATATACACTGTAAATATACAGGTAGATGCTGTGTTCTCAGGCAGTTGGTTGGACCCAAGAAACAAGACAGCTGCCACTTAACAAAGCAAACCTAAGAAGCGCGTGGGCATGCCATCCTTGGAGCGCGAGTGATCATGCTGGATGCACTCGCTGAGTACTGAACTGCTTCGCCGGACTATCAGTTGGATGCAACAGTGCATGATTGCCGATTGCCGAGGTCACGATGTTCACAATGACGGTGATAATGTTGCTTGGAATTTTGAGTTTGACCTTCCCGCGACAGACCTTTCGGAGAACCTTGATTAAGCCGAGGTTTGCCAGCGTTTTGGAAAATGTTCTGGCACAGGCCTGGGCCAAGTATATAACCAAGAACCCGGCTCGCGAAATCCATCTCAAAGGGCCCTTACGACTTTCAAGTGAACATGCTTGGAGAGAAGTGTCCTGGTTGCTTGACCTCAGGCAGTGCGAGCAAATGTGTCAAGCCACGCCGCAAAATTTGTGGACAACCTCTCAAAGGTGACTTTCCCAGTGAACCTTGGGACAATATCCTTTTGTGAAAGCCTTCACGGCCGAAATCCAAAGTCGACATGTTTTTTCCACATGTTTTTCACGATTTTTTTGTAATTATTTTGGCTCATTATTTTGATCTCGTTACGTTCACATTTGGATTGAGATTGCTTGATTCAACTTGCAACGTGAGGACGGGTGTGACGATGCTGACAGTGCTTTTCTGGATGGGAGCAATGAATGTGGCTACTGATTGGCTCATGGCAGTGTGCATCATGATCCTCTCATTCTGGCTTCTCTCCTTTAACCTAGCGATCTTTCTGTGACTTGGACCGAGGCTGACCCGATCCCACTTATTCAGTACTATATAGTTCCGACTTCGTGTAAGATTTGCTGTGCACCACGAGGTATATTCGCTGCTTGGAATCTACATTGATGAAGACCCTGGTGGAGCAGATCGCGCATCCAGTGACTTCAATGCAGTTTCCAGCTTGTTGTTGTGTTTTGAATGCATAACAGCTGGGATGACTATACGGACAGGCCAGTCCTGGCCTCAGTCTACTCTTCAACAGCTTGGCCAAAATGAAAGGCCTCCCTTGATTCATTTGCTGAGTCCTGGTCCACAACCTACTTCCAGCTGTAGCCTGCAGAGCATTTTTGACTTCAGTTAAAATCCGTCGTGATGTGTTTTATTCAATCCTTTCTTAAGATTAAGATCCTATACCTTCAAAGCTGTGCCGCAGCAATAGTTTCCATCACACTGGACATCCACGTGTTAGATGGTGTTGCCTTCAGAAATAAATACTGGGTCAATTGTCACGCTGCTTGCTCGGCAGCACCTGTCACGCGTGCACCATGTTGACAAAATGCAGCGCAATGCCCTTTACCCTTTACAGTGTCAACGTTCCTTTCCCCACCTGACAAGATTGATGTCGCATGGACATGTCTTGACCAAAAGATTGTAGACAAACTGTTCTGACCGTGAGATGTGTGAGTGTGTGTGTGTAATCCGCTATCACAAGCTGTTGATCCGTAGAAAGTTACATGTTCACGAACTCTCGATCATTTGCATAGCAGGGGGCACAGGCCCATCGTGGATACCTGTGCCAACGAAGCTGTTCCACGATGGGGAAGCGGAGATTGATCACCTCCGTGTACCTGCTGAAAGTTGTGATTTTGGCAAGCACTGCTGCACTTGGCAGTAGGGCCAAAGCACTGGATACATAGCAAACACCCGAACAAGAGGAACAATAAATTTTGTTGTTCTAGGCTTCAGCTTGTTGTTCTACAACTGACCCGAGTTGGTCTATAGAGTCACTGTGAGCACCATCGCCTGTCGGTCATGGATGCAAACCGCTGCACATGTTTGGTACGAGGCAACCCCCTCCTTTTTTCCTTTAGGCCTTTGGGCTTCACCTTCTTGTATTCAATAAGCGCAATCAGGATGCGCGTTGTCGTCGCTCGGATCGTTGCAGTCTGTTCGGGCCTTGCCCATTGCGTACGAGGACCCCCTTGCTCCTAACTTCTCTTCATTAAAGTACCACCCCTTCAAGGGCCAGCAGGGTCCTGGCTTAGAACGCCTGGCACTAAATTGACGTCAGGTCCTCCGGACCTTAAGTTACTCTCGGATCTGGGGTCTGCTCAGACCTTCGAGGTTTGTGCCTTTGATGTGATGGGCGCAAGGAACCCATTCTATGCCGTCAAAACCACCTGGTTGTGTACGAGGACTCCTCTCTTTCTAGGCTTCGCCGTGTTGTCTTACTTGAAAGCTTTAAGACTTCCATTGGGAGGGCCTTGCGTGTGTAACCCGCAATCACAAGCGGTTGATCCGTAGAAAGTTACATGTTCACGAACTCTCGATCATTTGCATAGCACGGGGCGCAGGCCCATCGTGGATACCTGTGCCAACGAAGCTGTTCCACGATGGGGGAAGCGGAGATTGATCACCTCCGTGTACCTGCTGAAAGAGTGTGTGTGTGTCACACCCTGTATTTAAGGGTTTGGAACTTTTCTCCCCAACTGCAACCAGGGGCGTCAAGCTCGATACACCTACCTGACGCAACGAAGCTCTGGTGTATCGAGGGATGGGTGGACGGATCATCCACCTGTACTTGCTTCGTGACAATACACAAATTTTCCTTGCGTTTTTTCCCGAAAGCATTGCGAAGGGTTCTTCCGGAAAATCCTTTGAACACTGACACTTCGACACTTAAACTTCTGAACACTGACACTTCGACACTTACACTTCGACGCTCACACTGACAAACTTACACTTCGACACTCACACTGACACACACACACACACTGGAAGAGCGAAAGCATCCAAGTGTGAAGTATGCCAGGGCGAAAGCATTCAAGTGCGAAGTATGCCAGGGTCAAAGTATGCAAGTGTGAGTATGCAAGCATGCAATGACTATGCAAGGGCAAGTGTGAGTATGGTAAAGATGGAAAACTAGCACGGGAGATGTCCTAATGAAAAAAACATTTCCCCACTTTATAAATTCTCTCTTAAAGGCGGAGGGTGGGACGAACAGCGTCAACCGAAAGTGCAACCCTCTGCGGAGATCGTGCGTGTGGAGTGCGCGAAATGCAGGCGAGAGTGCGATTTGCCGGCTGTGCGCGCAACCCTCTGCGGAGATCGTGCGTGTCGAGTGCGCGAAATGCAGGCGAG